CCACTTGATCATGGTGGATAAGCTTTTGGATGTGCTGCTGGATCTGGTTTGCCAGTATTTTATTGAGGATTTTTGCATCGATGTTCAGCAGGGATATTGGTCTAAAATTCTCTTTTTTTGTTGTGTCTCTGCCAGGCTTTGGTATCAGGATGATGTTGGCCTCATAAAATGAGTTAGGGAGGATTCCCTCTTTTTCTATTGATTGGAATAGTTTCAGAAGGAATGGTACTAGCTCCTCCTTGTACCTCTGGTATAATTTAGCTGTGAATCCATCTGGTCCTGGACTTTTTTTCGTTAGTAGGCTATTAATTCTTGCCTCAATTTCAGAGCCTGCTATTGGTCTATTCAGGAATTCAGCTTCTTCCTGGTTTAGTCTTGGGAGAGTGTAAGTGTCCAGGAAATTATCCATTTCTTCTAGATTTTCTAGTTTATTTGCATAGAGGTGTTTATAGTATTCTCTGATGGTAGTTTGTATTTCTGTGGGGTCGGTGGTGCTGACCCCTTTATCATATTTTATTGTGTCAATTTGATTCTTCTCTCTTTTCTTCTTTATTAGTCTTGCTAGCGGTCTATCAATTTTGTTGATCTTTTCAAAAAACCAACTCCTGGATTCATTGATTTTTTGGAGGGTTTTTTGTGTCTCTATCTCCTTCAGTTCTGCTCTGATCTTAGTTATTTCTTGCCTTCTGCTAGCTTTTGAATGTGTTTGCTCTTGCTTCTCTAGTTCTTTTAATTGTGATGTTAGAGTGTCAATTTTAGATCTTTCCAGCTTTCTCTTGTGGGCATTTAGTGCTATAAATTTCCCTCTACACACTGCTTTAAATGTGTCCCAGAGATTCTGGTATGTTGTATCTTTGTTCCCATTGGTTTCAAAGAACATCTTTATTTCTGTCTTCATTTCGTTATGTACCCAGTAGTCATTCAGGAGCAGGTTATTCAGTTTCCATGTAGTTGAGCGGTTTTGATTGAGTTTCTTAGTCCTGAGTTCTAGTTTGATTGCACTGTGGTCTGAGAGACAGTTTGTTATAATTTCTGTTCTTGTACATTTGCTGAGGAGTGCTTTACTTCCAATTATGTGGTCAATTTTGGAATAAGTGTGATTTGGTGCTGAGTAGAATGTATATTCTGTTGATGTGGGGTGGAGAGTTCTGTAGATGTCTATTAGGTCTGCTTGCTGCAGAGATGAGTTCAATTCCTGTATATCCTTGTTAACTTTCTGTCTCGTTGATCTGTCTAATGTTGACATGGGGTGTTGAAGTCTCCCATTATTATTGTATGGGAGTCTAAGTCTCTTTGTAAGTCTTTAAGGACTTGCTTTATCAATCTGGGTGCTCCTGTATTGGGTGCATATATATTTAGGATAGTTAGCTCTTCCTGTTGAATTGATCCCTTTACCATTATGTAATGGCCTTCTTTGTCTCTTTTGATCTTTGATGGTTTAAAGTCTGTTTTGTCAGAGACCAGTATTGCAACCCCTGCTTTTTTTTGTTCTCCATTTGCTTGGTAGACCTTCCTCCATCCCTTTATTTTGAGTCTATGTATGTCTCTGCATGTGAGATGGGTCTCCTGAATACAGCAAACTGATGGGTCTTCACTGTATCCAGTTTGCCAGTCTGTGTCTTTTAATTGGAGCATTTAGTCTATTTACATTTAAGGTTAATATTGTTATGTGTGAACTTGATCCTGCCATTATGATATTAACTGGTTATTTTGCTCGTTACTTGATGCAGTTTCTTCCTAGCCTCGGTGGTCTTTACATTTTGGCATGTTTTTGCAATGGCTGGTACCGGTTGTTCCTTTCCATGTTTAGTGCTTCCTTCAGGGTCTCTTGTAAGGCAGGCCTGGTGGTGACAGAATCTCTAAGCATTTACTTATCTGTAAAGGATTTTATTTCTCCTTCACTTATGAAACTTAGTTTGGCTGGATATGAAATTCTGGGTTTAAAATTCTTTTCTTTAAGAATGTTGAATATTGGCCCCCACTCTCTTCTGGCTTGTAGAGTTTCTGCCGAGAGATCTGCTCTTAGTCTGATGGGCTTCCCTTTGTGTGTAACCCGACCTTTCTCTCTGGCTGCCCTTAAGATTTTTTCCTTCATTTCAACTTTGGTGAATCTGGCAATTATGTGTCTTGGAGTTGCTCTTCTCGAGGAGTATCTTTGTGGCGTTCTCTGTATTTGCTGAATTTGAATGTTGGCCTGCCCTACTAGGTTGGGGAAGTTCTCCTGGATGATATCCTGCAGAGTGTTTTCCAACTTGGTTCCATTTTCCCCCTCACTTTCAGGCACCCCAAATCAGACTTAGATTTGGTCTTTTTACATAATCCCATACTTCTTGCAGGCTTTGTTCATTTCTTTTTCTTCTTTTTTCTTTAGGTTTCTCTTCTCGCTTCATTTCATTCATTTGATCCTCAATCGCTGATACTCTTTCTTCCAGTTGATCAAGTCGGTTACTGAAGCTTGTGCATTTGTCACGTATTTCTCGTGTCATGGTTTTCATCTCTGTCCATTCGTTTATGGCCTTCTCTGCATTAATTATTCTAGTTATCAATTCTTCCACTTTTTTTTCAAGATTTTTAGTTTCTTTGCGCTGGGTACGTAATTCCTCCTTTAGCTCTGAGAAGTTTGATGGACTGGAGCCTTCTTCTCTCATCTCGTCAAAGTCATTCTCCGTCCAGCTTTGATCCGTCGCTGGCGATGAGCTGCGTTCCTTTGCAGGGGGCGATGTGCTCTTATTTTTTGAATTTCCAGCTTTTCTGCCCTGCTTTTTCCCCATCTTTGTGGTTTTATCTGCCTCTGGTCTTTGATGATGGTGATGTACTGATGGGGTTTTGGTGTGGGTGTCCTTTCTGTTTGTTAGTTTTCATTCTAACAGTCAGGACCCTCAGCTGTAAGTCTGTTGGAGATTGCTTGAGTTCCACTCCAGACCCTGTTTGCCTGGGTATCAGCAGCAGAGGCTGCAGAAGATAGAATACTGCCGAACAGCAAGTGTACCTGTCTGATTCTTGCTATGGAAGCTTCCTCTCAGGGGTGTACTCCACCGTGTGAGGTGTGGGGTGTCGGTCTGCACCTAGTGGGGGATGTCTCCCAGTTAGGCTACTCAGGGGTCAGGGACCCACTTGAGCAGGTAGTCTGTCGGTTCTCAGATCTCAGCCTCCGTGTTGGGAGATCCACTGCTCACTTCAAAGCTGTCAGACAGAGTTGTTTGCGTCTGCAGAGGTTTCAGCTGGTTGTTGTTGTTGTTGTTGTTGTTGTTTAGCTGTGCCCTGTCCCCAGAGGTGGAGTCTACAGAGACAGGCAGGACTCCTTGAGCTGCTGTGAGCTCCACCCAGTTCGAGCTTCCCAGCTGCTTTGTTTATCTACTTAAGCCTCAGCAAAGGCGGGCACCCCTCCCCCAGCCTTGCTGCTGCCTTGCTGGGAGATGGCAGACTGCTGTGCTAGCAATGAGGGAGGCTCTGTGGGCTTGGGACCCTCCCGGCCAGGTGTGGGATATAGTCTCCTGGTGTGCCCATTTGCTAAGATCCTTGGTAGAGCGCAGTATTGGGGTGGAAGTTACCCGATTTTCCAGGTGTTGTGTGTCTCAGTTCCCCTGGCTAGGAAAAGGGATTCCCTTCCCCCTTGCGCTTCCCAGGTGAGGCGATGCCTCGCCCTGCTTCAGCTCTTGCTGGTCAGGCTGCAGCAGCTGAGCAGCACTGATTTTCAGGCACTCCCTAGTGAGATAAACCCAGTACCTCAGTTGAAAATGCAGAAATCACCTGTCTTCTGTGTCGCTCGCGCTGGGAGTTGGAGACTGGAGCTGTTCCTATTCGGCCATCTTGCTCCGCCCCATTTTTTTTTTTTTTTTTAGTAGAAATACGGTTTCACCATGTTGGCCAGACTGGTCTTGAACTCCTGACCTCAAGTGATCCGCGCACCTTGGCCTCCCAAAGTTCTGGGATTATACATGTGAGCTGCCGTGCCCGGCCTAGCCTTCTTTATATTTAAATATTTGGTTAAGGCGCTGTGGCTCATGCTTGTAATCCCAGCACTTTGGGAGGCTGAAGTGAGAGGATCTCAAAGACACTGCAAGATCTTTAGTCACCAAAAGTATGTTTGGCCTCTATTGTACTTATCAAAATGCAAGGCAGGAGATAGACTGGATTCTTTTATGCTGTATACCAGGCACTATAGTGGATGCTTTTACATATGTTTTTATTTACACAATAGCAGATGAAGTAGTTTTTAGTAGTTTACATATAAGAAAACTGAGGTCTAGAGGAATGAAGAGTCCTCATTTGCAACACTGAAAAAAAGTAAAATGAACAAATTCCATCTAAGTGGAGACAGAATTTCATAGAATATAGGAAAAGAAAGGTTTAAATAGCTGCATGTAACTTGCCTGAAGCTATGTGGTTGTAGAGTATAGATCGATTAATTGAGTTCAATCATAGGAATTGAAGTGAGTTTTCTTTTTTTTAAAAAAAAAAAAAAAAGAGAGAGCCTGGGTCTCTCTATGTTGACTGGGTTGGTCTCGAACTGCTGGGCTCAGCGATCCTGTGGCCTCAGCCTCTCAAAGCGCTGGGATTACAGGCATGAGCCACTGTGCCCGGCCGAAATGAGTTTTCTGATTGACTTTTATAGAGTTACAGTATATTGTTTAATTTGAGATTTTTACATATAGAGTTGTTCATAGGTGTATTTTAAAGCTATTTTAAAACATTGTTTTTATTCATTATTGAGTAGTTACTTAGGTGCATTTTTAACACATTAAATTAACTTACTGTATGCAATGTGTATCTAATGCCGATTACTGTTGTCATCACAGATTCTGCTGTCTACATCAATACACCTGAATAGTTGGACAGAAAATTGAAATCTTTTAACTAATTCTGACTATGAAGCACAGTGAAATAGAAAGTTAGGCTGTAAGAAGTAAGGCTCTTCTGTGTGTGTCATCAGCTTGGTTCCATTTGCCCAACTGATACATTTACGTGGACAATCTCATATGTGTCTTCTGTCATCACAGGTGCAGAGTCCAGTGGTGACATGGATGTTCTCCTGACCCATCCCAGCTTCACTTCGGAATCAACCAAACAGGTGCCTCAGCATTTATAATCAATGTGATCAGTCTTACACAACAGTGAATTTCGCTTTTTAAATGATAGTTGATATTTTCAGAATAAGTTTTGGTTTTGCCTTCCCGAAAAGTCTACTGAAGAGCTCTGTACTGATTGAATTCTGCGAAAGGCAAATTTCTCGAAAGGGATACCTATTGTTCTTCCATGAGGAGCTGGGAGGACAGTCTAACATTTGAAAGAGATGACATCTAATACAATAGTTTTAGAACGACTTACTATCTGTGATAAATACGTTAGAAATACTATAATCAGGTTTTCATTAAAGGAATATTTTCACTTAAAAAATGAAATATTGAGAAACCTTACTTCTATTAGAAAACCTGTGAAGGCAAAACATTTTTTATTTTACAACATATGCCTTTAAAAGATGAAACAGCTGACTCTTTGGTTTTTTTTCCCATGAGCCATTTCAAGAACAGTAAAACTCTTTGATTTAAGGAAACAGATAAATACAACTGATCGTTGTTTTAACAATCATAATACCTTAAACAGTGGTTTCTAAAAATATGTTTCAAAGGTGAATTTTCTATTGGAAAAAGTACTTGCTCAGAACATTAAAAAACATAGAGATGGCCGGGCACGGTGGCTCACGCATGTAATCCCAACACTTTGGGAGGCCAAGATAGGCAGATCACGAGGTCAAGAGATCGAGACCATCCTGCCCAACATCGTGAAACCCCGTCTCCACTAAAAATATAAAAATTAACTGGGCGCGGTGGTGCATGCCTGTAGTCGCAGCTACTCGGGATGCTGAGGCAGGAGAATCACTTGAACCTGGGAGACAAAGGTTGCAGTGAGCTGAGATCATACCACTGCACTCCAGCCTGGCAACAGAGCGAGACTCTGTCTTAAAAAAAAAAAAGAGAGATTTCTCCATAAATAATTAGAAAGCTCATGTTAAAAATGTTTTCTTTCCGGGCTCAATTCGCTGCCAAAAAAAACGGTTTCTTAGCCAGGCATGATGTTGTTCCTGGTACTCTGGATGCTGAGGTAGGAGGATCACTTGAGTCCAGGAGTTCAAGGCTATAGTTTGCCATGATTGTACCTGTGAAGAGCACAATCTCTTGTCTGTGCAATATAGCAAGACTCTGTCTCTAAAGATATTGTTAAATATTTTCTTACCATTACAAAGTAATTACTCTTTTTCTTATTCCCTAATTATGATTCTGCAGCCAAAACTGTTACATCAGGTTGTGGAGCAGTTACAGAAGGTTCGTTTTATCACAGATACCCTGTCGAAGGGTGAGACAAAGTTCATGGTAAGTACTTGTTAAGAGTTAGCACATCTAAAAAAAAAACTTGGAGACTGTTTAGTAACCATTCTGAGTGTGTGACTTCATGGTAGCTTTGAATTACTGTCAACAAATAGAGTATCCATGAGACTTTAAAGAAAAATAATCAGCAGGATGCCTGATTCTCATAACTACTCTCAGAATATTTTAGGAAAGAATTTTCTTTTAATTCTCCACTTGTAAATAACAGGTGTCATCAGAATAGTTAATTAGGCCCGGGCATGGCAGGATAATCCCAGCTCTTTGGGAGGCCAAGGTGGGCAGATCGTGAGGTCAGGTGATCAAGACCATCCTGGCTAACATGGTGAAACCCCGTCTCTATTAAAAATACCAAAAATTAGCCAGGCATGGTGGCGGGCGCCTGTAGTCCCAGCTACTTGGGAGGCTGAGGCAGGAGAATCACTTGAACCCGGGAGGCAGAGGTTGCAGTGAGCCGAGATCATACCACTGCACTCCAGCCTGGGTGACAGAGCGAGACTCTGTCTCAAAAAAAAAAGAATAGTTAATGAGGCATAATCTGCTTTTTGAAAATATCAGTAATGACTTTGACACACATTAAGTTTTTCCCTAAAATAGCAAATGGTTCTCATCTTCTCTGACTCAGAATTCTTCAGTAAGTGAAGTTAGAATTGATTGAAAAATATTAATCTATTTCAACACCAAAGAAAGAAAAGTCATCACGGTCTGTGATAGAACACTCAGGGGAAGAAACATGTTACATGGAATGGTAACGAGGGAAGTTGATTGGGGGGGAATTAAGACTTAATAATTCAAGATGAATGGCTAGTGGATTAAAAGTAGATTAATAAGTGATTCTGTATACCAACAGGAAGGCAGATAGAAATCTAGAATTGAGATTCTTTTTTTTTTTTTTTTTTTTTTGAGATGGAGTTTTACTCTTATCACCCAGGCTGGAGTGCAGTGGGGTAATCTCGGCTCACTGTAACCTCCGCCTCCCGGGTTCAAGCGATTCTCCTGCCTCACCCTGCCGAGTAGCTGGGATTTCAGGCGCCTGCCACCATGCCCAACTAATTTTTATATTTTTAGTAGAGACTGGGTTTCACCATGTTGTCTGGGCTGGTCTCGAACCCCTGACCTCAGGTGATCTGCCTGCCTCGGCCTCCCAAAGTGCTGGGATTACAGGCATGAGCCACTGTGCCCAGCCTAGAATTAAGACTCTTCCTCTTTTTTGAGACAGGGTCTTGGTCTGTCACCTAGACTGTAGTGCAGTGGCGAAACATGGCTCACTGCAGCCTCAATCTCTGGGGTTCAAGCAGTCCTCCCACCTCAACCTCCTGAGTAGCTGGGACTAAAGGTACACATCACCATGCCCGGCTAATTTTTGTATTATTTGTGGAGATGGGGTTTCACCATGTTGCTCAGACTGGTCTCGAACTCCTCATCTCAAGTGATCCACCCTCCTTGCCCTCCCAGAGTACTGGGATTACATACATGAGCCACTGTGCCCGGGCCTCTTACTTCCTTCTTAAGGTGACATTTAGTGTTCTGTCACTTATATACATCATTTGAGTCAATTTTCTCCACACCCCACTTTTCCCGGATTATATGACTGAAAGGAAAGAGACTGCGCTTTTAGAGAGTTGACATGCTAAAATTAGTAAGCGTCTCAGTGCATAGATTTGACAAGAGTTTTAGCCAAAACTAGAAGATAGTTGAGAAAGATAATTAAATTGTCATGTCATTCAGAAAGTAGAGTGGTGTTTGCCAGGGCCTGGAAGGAGGGGGTAATAGGGAGTTCCTGTTTAAATGGCACAGAGTTTCAGTTGCGGAAGATGAAAACATTCTGGACATGGATGGTGGCGATGGTTGCACAACAATGTGATTGTACTTAATGCCACAGAATGGTACACTTAAAAATGGTTAAAATAGTAGTCAGGCACAGTGGCTCATGTCCATAATCTCAGTGACTTGGGAGGCTAAGGTCGGAGAATGGCTTGAGCCCAGGAGTTTGAGGGTATAGTGAGCCATGATCGCATTACTGCACTCTAGCCTGGGTGACAGAGCAAGACCCCATCTCAAAAAAGAAAAGAAAAGAAAAAAAAAGAGATGGCAAATAGATAGTAAATTGTATGTCGTGTATATTTAACCCACACACATATAAAAAATCATGTCATTAAGTTCAGCATGGTGATATTAGTGGGCTGTGAAAGTGTATTTTCTAAGCTGGTCACACTTCAACAACGCTTCCAAACGAACTTTGGAAAGATAAAAGTAAAGGTTCTAGTCAGTCTTTGGAAATTAAATCTCTGATTTGTTCTCTTGACTCTGTGAGGTTTTGAAGTCTTACTCTGTTCCCAAAAGTATATACATACATGAGATGGTATTAAAAATAGGGCTTGTGTATGCCCCATGAACAGCCTTTTCAAATTTAGGTGAATTTTAATTCACTCCAAATGAATGTTCATGAATCTTACATTTAAGAATATTCAGTCAGATAAAATCCTGAAAACAATATCTGCTAGACAAGCTGGATGTTTTGCACAGTAGAAAAGTGTCTTGCTACATCTGGGCATATTCTGGGGACCTCTCTGGCCTAAATCTCTTCCTCAAGTATCATCCCTGGGAAAGTCACTAGAAATCCTTACTGGGAAGTGTGCCAACTATTTTCAGAGTTAATGACTAGGAAGGTATTTCCACACTACCATGGCAGAAGCCATTTTTTATAATCTTAATGGTGTTCTGCTGTATTCGAAGAGAAATCCAGAGGAAAAACCAACAGAAGCTATAGGAATCCAGCTAGCAAGAATACAAGGTAAAAGGGCCTAGCATGGTGACTCACACCTATAATCTCAGCACTTTGGGAGGCTGAGGCAGGTGAATCACCTGAGGTCAGGAGTTTGAGACCAGCCTGGCCAACATGGCGAAACCCCGTCTCTACTAAAAATACAAAAATTAGCTGGGCGTGGTGGTGGGCGCCTGTAATCCCAGCTACTGAGGAGGCTGAGATGGAAGGATCGCTTGAACCTGGCAGGCAGTGGTTGCAGTGAGCTGAGATTGCGCCATTGCATTCCAGCCTGGGCGACAGAGCAAGACTCCCTCACCCTCCCAAAAAAAGGAAACAGTATCATCTAGTGGGCTGGATGTAACCTGAAAAGGAAAGGTGGGTAGCCAGGTCTTTGTGATCTTGTTGATAGTGGTGGACTTGGGTTGTCCCAGTAGTTGCTCAATCAAAGAAAGAAAACCCTTTGCCTAGGAAGTGCAAGGGCAGCCAAATCCCAGTTATTGCTAGAGATGAGGCTAGTTTAGACCTCACTGTGCGTGTGCCACAGGAATGAAGACTAAGGCCACTCACCCATCCTAGGATAGACCTGGGATTGTAGGAACCATGCCCTATCTTGACTTCCCAGTCTTTAAATCATACATCTGGCAGCACATCTAGCGGTATTGACAGGAAAGCATCCCCCAGACATATCTCCAGAAGAAAACAGGCTAAAACACAAGAAGACTGGGTCTGTTTATTTGTTTTTAAGTGTAGAAGATTCAGATGACAATAAGAACAAGAAACTAAGATCTTTAGGTTGCGACGTAGGAATCCATCTCAGTGGTTTTTGACAAAATTTGGATGTTATACCTGTGGTTCATAGTCCCTGGAACTTAAAAAAATACCATAGTTGAGCGTGCTGTTTTGACATTTGTAATCATTGTTAGGAAGAGAAGCACTCGAGGTCAACTTTCAAATCAATTTTAGAGACAGTTAAGAGGTGGTTTGTATCTTTCATTATGGAAGAATAGATTTGGATATAGAAGATAGAGGGTCTTATTCTGGCTCCATTACTAATACTCTGTGTGGCACTGGGAAGGTGGATTTACTTCTAAAAGGCCTGAGTTTTATCTTTAAAATTGATATTTGCCCTACGTCAGAAGACCGTTATGCAGATCAAAATTAAATAATATATGTGGAAACTTTGAAGAGTTTGTGCAATTATTTGATGTACAAATAAGAATTTGCACAACTTCAGAGATACTGGATCTTCCAAGAGTTGTACAAAGAGAGCTGCACAAATGTAAGATGTCATCTGTGTGGAAATGGATCAGGAGAGGAAGGTGACCTGGTAAGGATTAGATTGGGGAACAAAGGAAGGGATAGAGAGAGGATGGTGCCATGAAAGAAGAACAGAATGAGGAGAGTGAGCACCCCCAGGGCAGAAGTTGTATTCAGTCAATTCAGCAAATACATACAAGCATTCCAGGCACTGTTCTGGAAGCTTGGGATGTATCCATGAATTTAAGTAAAACTCACATTTGAGGATTGTGGGAAGGGACTGATAGTTAACAATGAACATAATAAATATGTGAATTATATAATAGGTTAGAGTAGTAAGTTTTTTTTGTTTTTTTTTTTTGTTTTTTTTGTTTTTTTTTTTTTGAGACGGAGTCTCACTCTGTTGCCCAGGCTGGAGTGCAGTGGCGCGATCTCAGCTCACTGCAAGCTCCGCCTCCCGGGTTCACGCCATTCTCCTGCCTCAGCCTCCCGAGTAGCTGGGACTACAGGCGCCGGCCACCTCGCCCGGCTAATTTTCTTATATTTTTAGTAGAGACGGGATTTCACCGTGTTAGCCAGGATGGTCTTGATCTCCTGACCTCGTGATCCACCTGCCTCGGCCTCCCAAAGTGCTGGGATTACAGGCCTGAGCCACCGCGCCCGGCCGTTAAGTGCTATTTTTTAAAAAGGAAGAACAGGGTGTAGGGGAGAGGAGAGTGCAGGAGGCAGTATTAAATAGTGTGGTTGGAGGCAGCCTCATTGAGAACATGAGACTTAGGGAAAGACATAGGGAGTTAGCTAAGCAGATATCTGAGGGAAGAGATAGCCAGGCAGGAGTCCAAGCAGCAAGCCTATGGGAATGAGCGTGACCAAGATATCCGAAGAAGCTAAGAGCTCTAGGCTTCTAAAAGGAAACTGGCTGCAAAATGATTTCAACTTAGGTAGTGAAATAAACCATTCTCATTCCATATTTTTGCAAAACCTCTTCTTGCTATCACCACTTACTAGTCTTAAAGATATGCCTCTCCATGTGTTTTGCAAGTTATCTTCAAGATACAAGTTCCTTTAAGCTAATAGTAAACAAACAGTAGGAAAGCCATGGTTATTCCAGATCATCTTGTACAATCATAGTCTTTAGATAATTGAGCTGTTCTTCCTGTGAATATAGTAGCACTCAGAAGAAAAAAACAGTTTCCTCTGCATTTAACTATTGGTTTTATGTAAGGTGAGTGTCATTCAAATTTCAGTATTTTGTGCAAGTTTGGCCTTGGGTAATTTTCTGTGAAATATCTGCAGTAAGAATTCAAGGGACAATAGGAGATACCATGGCTACTGTGAGGAAATGAAAGAGGCTTTATTTCAGACACTCAGTATGAAGCTCCCCAAATGAAATGCCAAACAAAGCTAATCCACTCAATCTAATACAGAATTTACAGTAAAACAGAGAAATTCTTTAACATTAGCACTTCAGAAAAAGTGCAGGAAATAAAATTAGCCTCAAGGAAAGGAACAAAGCCATGAGATAAAATCCTATTACTGATGTGACAAACAGCAACATCATTCCCTGTGGCATCTAGATATCCGCATCCGCAAGGTAATACCTCCTGGTAATTCCAGGTGGAAATGACTTCTGATCCACTTGAAGGTGGAAGTTGAGTTGGAACTTGTTAGTTCCTAAGAAGGTAGGTATTTTGAAGGTAAACATGTTTCATTAATCTTTCTTCCATAGGAACAGCTCAAGAATTAGTTTAGATTTTAATTTTTCTATTTTGCTGAGTGAAAAAGTATGGCTTTTAGTGGCATGTGTTAACTTGACCACTCTTGGGGACCAGAAGCTTGTCACTTGTGTATTTTTCTTAGAATGTAGCATTTGATACTTTTAATTGGAAATTTGGTGGTGCTAATAGCTTGTTTTACATATGTATGGGTTACTGACCAGTCCAGATTTTTTGTCCATTTTTCTGGAAAGGGAAAAGATAAAACAGACTTGAATAACTTTTGTTTGGAAACTGTAGAAGTATAATGAAAACTTAACCTGTGGAGAAGGAAGAAAGTGATCCTCTCATTTTCTGATCTCATATTTTTCTTATTTTCCGTGTCTTTCTCCCTTCTAGTATCTGAGAGATTTCTTCAATTTCAAACTCTTTTACTTCTGCTACCTATCATTTTAAATTTTGATTTAAACCGTTCCCTGAGGGTTTTCTGTAGTATTCTGTCCTTGCTTCATGGATAGACTATCTTCCGTTATCTGAGACTATTACTGGTAGCTTTTTTGTTTATTTTCTTCTTCCTGCATAATCGTTTCTTCCACCTTGCTCTCTTCTGTTTATTTTGATGTCTGTGTTTTGTGTTCAGTGTTTTCTTTGATTAGTTTCTTGTTTAGAATCATGCAAAGGCCAAATCCTCATAATGAGAATCCTCATTTGCGGTTTCGTGTAGTTCTCTAATTATCATGAAGTGTAATAGAAAGGTGGGATAGTGTATCACTCACAGAAGCTGCTGAAAGTACTCAGAATTCTAGAGCTGCTAATATTAAAAACAAAAATGACCTTGTGTTTTGCTTGATTAAAATTAAGCCTTAAGTTTAGAACATCTTTAAACTTGGTTTAAAATATTCATTTTAGGGTGTTTGCCAGCTTCCCAGTAAAAATGATGAAAAAGAATATCCACACAGAAGAATTGATATCAGGTATTGTTCAGACTTTGTTGCTGACCTGTTAACTTTTCCAAACTTGTCTCGTTTTCTCCCTCCCTTTTTGTATCTTGGAGTTCACATTCATATCTAGAGCCTCTTTTTACTCCCGAGAGCCATATGTTCTTGCCAAATGCAATGTTTAGCTCCAAAGTATATGAAGAGTAATGACTGTCTACAGACTCTGATTTATTTTCTCCAGATTTGCACCTCACCATGATGCCTTCCACAGCTCAAAAGTCGTTTCCTGCCTGGGCTAAGTTAGTTGTATTAAGTGATAATGCGATTTCATTTCTCCACACCTCTTTCAGAACAAAGTTCATAGAAACGTAAACAAATTACAAGGTTGGGGTGATTTGAGCAGTCTACCTCATGATAGTCTTCTCTTCAATTTATTAGACCACTTAGGCTTATCTTAGGTATTTTGTTCCTTATTGATTTTAGGAGTCCTATATTTGCTAAACTTGAAATGCATGGTAAAAAAAATGTATCTACTGTCCATTTTTTTTAGGTTGATACCCAAAGATCAGTATTACTGTGGTGTTCTCTATTTCACTGGGAGTGATATTTTCAATAAGAATATGAGGGCTCATGCCCTAGAAAAGGGTTTCACAATCAATGAGTACACCATCCGTCCCTTGGGAGTCACTGGTGAGTGTCCATGTGTGTATTAGAGATCATTTCTCATCTCGAGAGAAGGTAATTTTCAAAGATACTTTGGTTTAGCAAACCTTCTAATAACTATGCCAGTTAGTGTAGTTTCTTTGTATTTTTAGTCCTTCAGGCAACAAGAAAGGATGTAATGCATAACATGCTCCTAGGCCCTCAGTTGAAAGCCATCAAGGCAAGTGTTATTTCTAGCTTTGTTAAAATGGATTAAATCCTTGCATGCTCAGTAAAACATCTTACTCATCTAAAAAGGTTTTTGTTTTTTGCTGTTGTTTAATGTACCTCCAAGACCCCTGAAAAACTCAAGTATCATTGTTTTCATTGCCACACACTTTGCTTTTAGTGCCACAGTATCTTTGGCCCCATGCTTTTAAAGTTTAAAGAATAAGGATTGCTGAATCTATGCTTAATGGGTCCTGTTAACATTTCACAGTATACTATGTGGTTTACCGTTCTCTACTAGGAGAATGAATTTTTGTCATTTTGTCCTCAAAGTATAAAATAAGGCTTTCATCCCTGGTAGACTAGGGCAGTACTTCTCACAATTCAGTATGCATACCAGCAACATGGGGGCCTCACTAAATTCAGATTCTAACTCCTTGGGCTTGCAGTGGGGCTCAGGATTCTGCATTTCTAGTAAGCTTCTAGATCAGAGGTTTCCAATCTTATAGCTTCCCTGGGCCACACTGGAAGAAGAATAATTGTCTTGGGCCACACATAAAATACACCAATACTCATGATAGCTGATGAGCTTTAAAGAAAAAAATCACAAAAACATCTCATCGTGTTTTAAGAAAGTTTACAAATTTGTGTTGGGCCACATTCAAAGCTGTGCTGGGCCGCATGCGGCCCACAGGCCATAGGTTGGATAAGCTTGTTCTAGATGCCAGTGCTGCTAGTCCAAGAACCGAGTTGCAAAGGAACTCACTAGAGTATTTTATATAATACATACTGGCTCCAGCAGAGAGGACAATCAAGAGTGAGGATGACTTGAGTGACTCTAGCTGGGATCCCCAGGTTCCCTTTGTGGCACTGGTGACTCACAAGACGAAGCTCCAGCACAGGCTCCTGGGAGACAATAGAGTGGTCAGTGTCTTTTTTTTTTTTTGAAACAGAGTTTCGCTCTTGTTGCCCAGGATGGAGTGCAATGGCACATTCTCGGCTCACTGCAACCTCTGCCTCCTGGGTTCAAGCGATTCTCCTGCCTCAGCCTCCCGAGTAGCTGGGATTACAGGCATGCGCCATCACACCCAGCTAATTTTGTATTTTTAGTAGAGATGGGGTTTCTCCATGTTGGTCAGGCTGGTCTTGAACTCCTGACCTCAGGTGATCCGCCCGCCTCAACCTCCCAAAGTGCTGGGATTACAGGCGTGAGCTACCACGTCTGCCAGTGTCTTTCTTTTTTAGTGACTTGGTTACCATTTTCCTTTTTCTTCTGAAAGCAAATCCCACACAGCTTTTAATTTTGAACCCTCTATAACTAAACTATAAAACGGGTTCTTACAATAAGTTTTTTCTCTCTGTACTTGTAGGAGTTGCTGGAGAACCCCTGCCAGTGGATAGTGAGAAAGACATCTTTGATTACATCCAGTGGAAATACCGAGAACCCAAGGACCGGAGTGAATGAGGCCTGTGTCCTCCCTGGCAGACACAGCACAATAGGAGTCTTAATTTATTTCTTAACCTTTGCTATGTAAGGGTCTTTAGTGTTTTTAAATGATTGTTTCTTCTTCATGCTTTCGCTTGCAATGTAGTCAATAAAACCTTGTGTACTGTTATTGGATAATGATGTTCTTATTTTCTTAGCAAATATGTTTAGTTTAAATTTTCATATTATGTTCATGATCATACTTTACTATGGGTTTGGTAGAGAGAAATATGAGATGATAGCAGATCTTTAATGGGAGTTTTTATTTTCTCATATTCTGCTCTAGGCTATAAACCACATTACCCCTACTTACTGATCACAAATTAGTTAATTAAGGTACACCCAGAGACTAGCCTCTGGAAGATTGTTCAATATTTTCTAGAAACTAGGGGGGCCGGGCATGGTGGTTCATGCCTGTAATCCCAGTACTTCGGGAGGCTGGGGCAGGTGGATGGCCTGAGGTCAGCAGTTGGAGACTAGCCTGGCCAACATGGTGAAACCCTGTCTCTACCAAAAATACAAAAATTAGCTGGGGGTGATGGCAAGTGCCTGTAATCCCAGCTACTTAGGAGGCCGAGGTGGGAAAATTGCTTGAACCTGGGAGGCGGAGGTTGCAGTGAGCCAAGATCATACCACTATACTCTAGTCTGGGCAACAGAGTGAGACTCCATCTCAAAAAAATAAACTAGAGACCTTCATAAATTTAATTTTTTGTTTTGCCCATATTTGATTATATCAGTCCATTCTTACATTGCTCTAAAAGAATACTGGAGACTGGGTAGTTTATGAAGGAAAAAGGTTTAATTGGCTCATGGTTCTGCAGACTGTATAGGAAGCATGGCACTGGTATCTGCTAAGCTTGCTGGGAGGCCTCAGGAAGGTTTTACTCCTGGTGGGAGATGAAGCGGCAGCAGGCACTTCACATGGCGAAAGCAGGAGCGAGAGAGAGAGAGAAGGTGCCACACTCTTAAACAACCCGATCTTGTGTCAACTAACAGAACTCACTTATCACCAAGGGGATGGTGCTGAGCCATTCATGAGGAGTCCGCCCTCATTGTCCAGTCACCAGGCCCCACCTCCAGTACTGGAGGTCACATTTCAGCCAGGAGTTACGGAAGGGACAAATGTCCAAACCATATCATTGAATCTTGCAATATATACTTATAACCTGAATAGAAAAACAGGTGTATGGTTTATCTCTTAAATGAAATCTGTAGCACTTGCTTGAAATCCACTAGAAAGAGCTCCCCTAAGCACAACCACTTCTACTATGCACAAAATACAGCCTTTTAAACTCCAAACAAAAATTTCACTTTTTTGCCCAAGTCTTCCTCTGGGCTTTTAAGTGCAAGTGGTCAAAATGTATAAATAAAAACACTCCTTGAAAGCCCTGCCTTTCAAATATTAAAATTATATAAATATAAAATAGACAAAGGTATCAAATGGTAAGTAAAGCTACTGAAAACGTGAAAATGCTTTATAACTTGCAAAGGACTATACAAATATATCTTTTGAAACTTCTTTATTAACCAAATTATTTTGTAGTGAAATGCCATTTCCCTTCTAAGAAATGAATGGAAATAAACAATAGAGTTTTTAAGGAAAAATATAGTATTTGCTGTGATAATTTTCCCTGGTAAGATGTAAGAATTAACTTACTTTTAACTTTAGGTGCTATCATTTTTACCCCCTAGGATACTGTCAGGCACCAGCCCTTTACCAGAAATTGCTTAAAGATGTATTTGGAGAGAGAGATGTGACTCGGTTATAGTATATGTATTTCAAAACATCATGCTGTACACTGTAAATATATACAATTTCAATTCTTTGTTGTTGTTGTTGTTTTGAGACGGAGTCTCGCACTGTTGCCTGGGCTGGAGTGCAATGGTGCGATCTCGGCTCATTGCAACCTCCGCCTCCTGGGTTCAAGCAATTCTCCTGCCTCAATTTCCCAAGTAGCTGGGATTACAGGCACCTGCCACCATGCCCAGCTAATTTTTTGTATTTTTTAGCAGAGACAAGGTTTTACTGTGTTGGCCAGTCTGGTCTCAAACTCCTGACCTCGTGATCCACCCGCCTCAGCCTCCCAAAGTGCTGGGATTACAGGCGTGAGCCACTGCGCCGGGCCTCAATTCTTGAAGATTTGAATTAATTGAGTCCCTAGATTAGAAATAAATTTTTTTTGTTACAGAGTCCCATCAGTTTTCTGGAAAACCGGACAAAAAGCTAAAGCTAGTTTCATTCATCACAAGGTCGCCAACTCTTAGTTCTCTAGTTTCAGGCTATTTCACTTGCTACAAGATTTGATTTTAAGAGAGATCTGTATGGAAGCATTTTAAAGTTAATGTCCAAGATTGAGCTCAAATGCAATGTAGATTCTTCTTTATTTTGAAATATTTATAGCTTTTCTATTTTTTGGCATACTCGTAACCGTGCATGCTGCCGATTGCTGGTCAGTTGGCTTCGACACAGTAGTCCGGGGCCACAGTCGCAACGCTGGAAGATTTCTGGAGCTTGAGCAGTGTCTTTATGCCCTCTCCTGGAGCAGACCTGTCCCTCCAAAAGGACTGGCTTACAAATTTTCGTCCAAAAATGACGAGCACAGCAAAGTCCAGGGCCACAGTCAAAAGTTCTCAGACAACTTTCTCCCTCTTGTCCTGTAACAAGGTTAATGTGGGCTTTAGTGATAAATAAGGAAAGTGGCCTGCCGGGGGTTTGCTACTGGGATAAGGGAATGGGACCTACGACTGACAGACACAAAGTAAAAATAGACACAGCACGCGGGTCTCACAGAGCTAGGTCTTACGCTAAAAGCGGTAATGCAATGGCGACTCCACCCCTACCCATCGGAATTGTTGTTACTGGCTGCAGACTACCTTAGGGTACTCTGTACATGACCCCCACAGCTTCTTATAGAAAGATATTACAAACAGCACGTGCTCCCTAAGTGTTTCTGGGATGGAGAAGAATAAAATCAATCTCACCCTATCCTTAAGAGGCTGGGAGGAGAAAATGCATTTCTGAAATAAAATGTGCTCAGAATGCTGTTCTTACCCTTCCTGCCTTGTGATTTCTTAATACTTGGCTTCCTCTTGGGTTGGTTTTCCTGGACTGGGTGCCCAGTTGTTACTTCTGCATGTGTGCCATCTTGCTCATCAAGCTGCCTTTCCAATTTTGGGGTTGCGTCTTCCATCGTAGTACAAACATCTGAGGGACAACCAGGTATAACTAGAATTACTAACTTCAAGGGGGAGAAACACAGACACACTAATTATCCTACTGTTGCATGGTTTAGTAGCACCTCTGCCTTCAGTTTATATATAACTTTCTAGATTTCTGGGACATGCACTAAATATTTACATGCTCACATATGGCAGAGAAAGTAGTTAAAGTGGAAGATGGATTCCATTAAAGGTAGTTAATGGTCTCCAAGTGGAAATGAAGTATTTGAATGATTCCAACTTGAGTCTTCCCTTTAAAATCATTATCTCCAAGTTATTGGCAAGAGCTGTTGCCAGGAAATAAATTATTTTGTTTCATGAAGAAAAGGCAGGCCAGGCCTGGTGGCTTATGCCTGTAATCCCAGCACTTTGGGAGGCCGAGGTAGGTGGATCGCCTGAGGTCAGGAGGTCGAGACTAGCCTGACCAACATGGTGAAACCCTGTCTCTACTAAAACCACAAAAATTAGCCGGGCGTGGTAGTGCACACCTGTAATGCCAGTTACTCCAGAGACTGAGGCAAGAGAACCGCCTGAACCGGGAGGCCAAGGCTGCAGTGAGCTGAGATCATGCCATTGCACTCCAGCCTGGAAACTCCATCTCCGAAAAAAAAGGAAAAGAAAAGGCAGCTGCATAAACTTACTTCAAGCATGAATCTAGGAAGCGCCATTAGAGAGTATCTACCCTGGAATGTGCTAGTCTATGGGGCTTAGACACTACCTTTGGTTTAAAAACCACTGTTGGTGTTATGGTCGCTCACCATTCATGCAGAGTGTCCCAGGGCAGCACATGGCATCTCGCTGGCACCTCCTCTGCAACCCACGACATGTAGCACAGAACGGCTTCTCATTGTGGGACTGGAGGCAGAACTTTCTGGTATTGCAGTCCGTGTCAGACAGGCACTGTGAGCCCTGTGGAGGGAATCTGTTGTCACAAGGCTAGGAAACCCAACACGATGGAAGGCAGGAGGTGGAGGGAGCCAAAGGACAGTGGCGCTGTGACAAACCCCAGACAGCATCTTATTTTCCAGTGGAAATGGTTTTCTCCCACAAAGGGAAGCTCAGGTCACCTGGGGAGAGACCCAGGCCCTGCAAAGGCTATTTGAGTTTGAAAAATTGTCTTAACTCAGAATTTAGTTTTCCTGTGCTCTTTGTGAAAATGGAAAAAAATGGTTTCCTATGTGTGTCTTAACAGGTGATTATGAGATTTTCAATATATCTTAACTCTAGAAGCTGGCTGCAGTTTAATTAAATATACTATTGATGTTTTGGGCATTCTTGTTTGATTTTTCACTCTAGTGAATCACATTTAGCTTGCAGACCCTCCCTAAGTGAACTGTCCTTTGATTTTCAATGATGCCTCATTGACATAGAGAAAGAGATAGCGAAGATCAATTGTTCTCATCCACAGTTGATACTTTTAATGTTGGTATAGTATATATGATATATGTAATAATAGATAGGATATATAATAACATATACACATATATAAAGCGATCCCTAAAACAACTCTCTCTGTGAAGTTAGACGGTGACAAGGCAATGCATCATGGTCCTCTGTTTAAATTCTCATTCCCATGTTTGCCAGCTTTGTGAGCTTGGGTAAGCTCTTCAAAATCTCTGAGTCTTATTTCCTCATCTGGAATTAGGGGGTGTTTCATCTATCTCAAATTGTGAGGAAGGAGTACATGAGGTATCACATGTAAAAGAGCTGGCACATGGTAGAGCTTCCAAAGTGTTCGTTTATTCCCTGATTTATAGACAAACTTATGGCCAAATGATGTGAAAAGCCACTGTGTTTATTTCATACATTCATGCTAAGGCCACTGATCCTACCAGGGTGCCCTCCCAAATCCAAAACCAATTCAATTTACCTGCTAGATAAGACATTTCACACATGAATCAAAACGACTTACTG